ATCACTCAACTGATCAATTAATAATCCTTAAAAATGTATTTATAGCAAACACACAAACAAAAGTCATTTAATCACTGATAGTGACATATAATCATATAAAAGTGGGAAGAGAAGTGTGATGTTTCATACATTTATGTGTGTCATATTTGTATCTGCAAAGAACCTAGTAATAACTGCACACGAGTATTATGGAGAACATTTTTAATATTTCACTCAGAAATACAGCAGAGCAAATGTATAAATTAAATTAAGTAAAGGCACTTGATAACTTTTGACTGATGATAGTTAATTCATCAATTAATTAGACTTGACTCAAATTTATGCAGTGCAAAGAGCTTCCAGGTAAATAGAAAGTGACTGAAAGTAAATCATTGAGAACAATAAAACTGTTAAAATTACTTGAGATGAAAATAAACAAATATAAAATGTATAATAAAACTATATAGAAATGCTCTATACTTTACATCCAAGTGGTTCACATAAAAAAATAAATGAATAAAAAAGTAAATGTTGGACTAAAGCATGAGCCTTAAACTCATATCAAAGCTGCTCAGCTGTCAAGGAGTGAAGGTTTTTGTCTTGCACTTTGAAAACTGATGTCACTACAGGACCTGGCTCTGGTGCATGAAACCATCTCGACATATAGCCCTGTATAGGCTAGTAAAATAGTATTAAAATCCATTCAAGTTATTGTCAGTGGTGCACTCATTGATGTGATGCTGCATGTTGATGGCACTTTATTTGTGACACCTGACTGAAGAGCATTACAAGTTATTTTTCAAAAATAAAACAAGTAATCTAGAAGCCTTTAGATTTGTTACTTTGTGGACAATGGTAAATCTTTCTAAATATACTTTAGCAATTTTTTGGCACTTAGACAATCTGTTTAATCTGGGTGGAGTGTTTTTTTCCAGAGGGTTCCACCACACTGCTTTCATCAGGAGATGGATTAAAATCACTACAGCGATAACAGATCACACCGTGATAAGACAAAAAAAAAACCAAGACAGTAGTAAGTGGACTTTGAGTATTGTTCCCAGGGTCAATAATGAATTCTCCTGCTTAATGTTAAATGGTTCACTACAGTTGACGCAAGATGAAATGCGGCAACACAAAGATACATAGAGCCAGGATAGATATTAAGAATGTAGCTTGGGTCCTGATTAAACAGTAAAAGGAAATGTAAACGCATTAAGATTAATATCAGGTTATATCTGATTATTTTTAGATAAACAGTCATCTGCAGCCAAAGACTTCCTGGCAGAGAGAAAGGATTAAACCAGTTCAGGACAGGTACAGACAGGCCTGCTCAGTCAGAGATCCTCTGTATCAAATGAAGCCCTCAGATCATTCGGCCAATGTGTAAAAAATATTTCTAACTGGGAGGTCCTTTACATAACAGGTTCTGGAACCCCCATATCTCATATCAGTGCTATCAACTTGCAAGATACATCGTGATTTGTGAGGCTGTAAATATAGAAGATAAGATTTCTTAATAAAATGTCATCTGTGAGCGTGACAGACCAGTTCATCAGGTTAATCAGCGTTGTGCAGTGATCTGCAATCATGTGAAACAAAGAAAGTGCAATACCAAAGTTCCACAACAACAAATGAATAATGTTTGGAGAACAGGAAAGCAGGGGGACAGCTGCAGCGCTCCCTCCGTGATGAACAACCTTTTGGCCCCTGCTCTCTGTCTCTCTCAGCCTCCTCTGCTGTTGTTCCCATCTTTGTCACTCACACTGTGACGTGTTCCTCACTGCTACTATGCGTCAGCCTCCCCGAGCCGCTACTGTCATACAACCAGGCCTGAGTGAGGGGATCCCTCCTCCTCAACTGTCTCTCCGGTGACGGGAATGCCTGCCCTGTTGTTTTTCAGGTTCAAAGCAAAAGTAACAGGCTCAAAGGGTCAAAGTGAAGAGATAATGTCTTTCTTGTCATGCTCTTATCTGATCTCTTTTCTTGTCTACTTGCAGCATCTGTCCAGAATATGACCGAGCAGAACAGGGGGATGTTGAAGGAGAGCAGATGACATGCAGTCACAACAATTAGACACAGAGGGGCCATAATAGGGAAGAGGAGGCTGTGGTGGATGGGGGGGTCTGACCAATACTCCCGCAATCTCCCAGCAACTGCAGAGCAAAAATGTTGATTGTATGTCACATTATTTCCCAGGATGTATTGTCCAGCTGTTCTGCAGCAGCAGCATGAAAAAATCAAGACACGATGCACACAGAATGAGCGTCTTTATGCAGTTCAATTCTTTATGTCTCATATGTAGAGACAAATACCTGGAAGAGGAGTAAAGATACTTTTTATACATGTAGACAAGTCAACAACAATATGGGAAAAATTCAACTTCCTGTATTGGAAAAGCTCTGACAGGTGGAAAAACTTAAATAAATAGTGAGAGATCACTTCTTTGGAAGGGATGAAGAAAAAAGTCCTTGTTTTTTTTTAAATCTGTACAAAAAGCAAAGTGTAAAAGTGACAGCCTGTCTGATTCCACTGTTTCCAATCTTATTGCTAGGCTACGCTACTCTGCTGGGTCCAGCTGCATATTCTCTGCTTGGATGTGAGTGTCATAGATTTTTATTTTTATTTTTTAATGAGTTGGTAGATACGTGCATTTCTCCAAATCCAAACTATTGTGCAAATCAAGGAATATGACAGTGACATACAAAATCTTCAGTTGTGTAAACGACAATAACTAATAAAGGACAAACACACAGGGATACTTTATTTGAACATCTACTGTGGTCTACACTTGTGGAAGATGATTCCGTTGAATTTTTTTAAAGCATCAGGATGCTTGGCAAGTGTCCTCAGAAAACTCTAAGCCCGTCCCCACGATGAGACTTGGGTCCTGTTGGGGAGAGTGATGTGGTTCGACTGTGGTTGGATGGCTGGCCGGTTGGCCGGTCAGGCTACACTGGAATGCGGGCTCTTTTGTTTGTCTGAGAGAGGAGTGGGTCAGGGGGAGAATGCCATTGATGATTGCAGAGAGGAAGAATGAACCTCCAGGAAGCGTTCTCTCTCTCCCCGCTCCCCCACTCTCCCACTCTCATTCTCTCTCCGTTTCTCTCTTTCTCTATCTTTTTCTGCGTGTGAGAACCTTCACCGTGCCGAGCCTCTCTCTCTGAGGCCACGGTCCCCAGGCACAACCACTGCTTTGTCTTGCCCTGTGAACACACACCCCTCCTCTACTGGGTGCCTACGTTTGCCAGGGCCAGTGAAACACAGGGCCACTGCTCCTATTCTTATCCACATCACTGCTTTTTTATGTGACACACACATCAGACACATTACACTTATATATTTATTTTAGTTTACAGGAAGACACTATTATCTCCTTGCATCCAGCTTTTAGACCAAATAAAGACAGTTTTTATTTTCAGAGCATGACACCGAGTCTTGGTCATGATCATCTGGACATGACCAGGGTGCAGATATCCAACCTCTGTGAGAGTATAACAGCACCGGCCTAAAAATGGAATAAAGCAGTAAGTGGATAAGAATCTAGCCGGTGGCCCCTTCTGACCAGTGGCTGCCGCCTCCCGTCACATTGCTCATTCCCCTCTGTGTCAGAAGGCTGTGAGGAGCTGCAAATGGCCCTTTCAAAACACACGACAGCTGGAACACAGGGCAAAGGTGACCCAGGCAGTTGGGAGGAAAGGGGGGGGGGGGGTTGAAGGGAGAGCGGGGAGGGGGAGAGAGGGCGCACGAGATGAGCAGCTGCAGCCCCAAGCCCCTGTTTCTCCACCATGCCACCATCCCTGGCTTTAACGATCACAGGACAGACTCTGACGACTGTGTGTGTTTTCTTTTCTTTTTTTTAATAAAGTCTCAAAAATGTGCAAAATGTGTGCCCTTTTTTTGTCTGTTCTAAGAAATCACCCTCCCTGTCTCAAGACAAAAAACACAAAGGCACTGGGTGATTTGGTACCAGGGAATTCCACAACCCAAAGCAGGATTAGAGGCCTTAAAAAGTTACCAATAGACCCCCTCTAACTAACAAAGCATGATTAATAGCTCTTTTATCAGTCTGGATATACCAGTAGCAATTTTTAAGACAAAAAAAGTGTGTTTCTTTCATCCACAGCAAAAAATAAAATACATTTTTGAGAGGATTTTTAAAGTAATCCAACTTGTATGTGAACTTTGAATATCCAATTCTCTTCAAACAGATCTGATGAAAAGGGAAAGTCAGAGTGAATTCAATCAGATAACATATTTAATGATTTATGTTACTATACCGGTTAGGTCTAAAATCTATCAGATGAAATAAGACTTTACTTAAATAGACAACACATTTCATACAAAGCTGAAAAACAATGTGTTTAAAAATACTGGAATACTATGAGTAATACAATAAATAGATACAATAAAATTAAGGATAAGATCGACTCGGTTTTTTATTGCTCCACATGTGTTCCTCCCTTACTTTGCCACACTTCAGGGTTGACCACACTCCCTCCTCCCCCCTGATGGAGGGACAGGTGTTTTGATAAGAGCCAATAGATGTTCCCAGTGATCTGCTGCTGTGTGAATTCACGGAGCAACACCACCACCACCGCCACCGAACTTTATTGTGGCCGCGCGTTATCGCGAGACTTGTGCCATTATCAACCTGCTTGACACACAGCAGCGCTGAGTGCAGCCTGCCTTGCCAGGGTTAGGACCGAAGCTTCAAGAAACGACAAGGAGCAGCGAAAACATCTGGACCGCACATCATGAGAGGAGACCGGGGCGTGTAGGTGGGGGAAAAGGACGACGGATCGGGCGGAGATACATGTGAGTACGGTGCGGTTGTTTGCGCTTTTAAAACGCAGGAAGCGAAAGTTAAAGTGTAAGCCTCGTCGCTTCGTTCGGCGCAGTTGGCTTTGCTGTGAGTTCCTCCGCTGTTTTTTCTAAAAGGATCCCAGTAACGCGTTTCCCAACACGGACACAGAGCTCGCTTTACAGCGCCCTCGGACCGATCCGTCTTACAACTTTTCTTGTTTCTCTTTTCAAAATAATCCAACTTCTGTGCGTAAAAATCGCCACACGCAAACACGAACCGCGCTGTGTGCGGCATCAAACTTTTAATAATCAGTCCATTTTTTTTATTTTTTCTCACCATCTGCCTTTTCTGTTTTGAATTAGCCCCTTTTAAAGAAACACCCACAGCTGTGTGCGTGTGTCCGAGCGGTGCGTAAAAAGGCCCCGCGGCTCGTTTTTTTTCCTATTCTCATCCGCGACCATCGAAGTGCAGCTTTGCTCAGCTGATAGATAAATGACCCGGTTTGATTATTATTTTTTAAGTTGACGCTTTTATCACTTACAGATCTCGCTCCGTTTGGAGAGTTGTGTGTCTTTTTTGGACTGCGCACAGCTCCGGAGTTTAACATATGGCATAAAGGGGAGCACAGCTGGAGGTAGCGTTTCCATTGCGGTGATGTCAGAGCAGCTGACTCCACAGCTTGCAGTGTAATTAGCAAACAGAGCAGCAGTTTACTCACTCACTCTGCGCTGCTCTTATTTTTTTCCTCTTCTTCACGCCGGCCTCCCTCCTCCCTCCCCTTGCAATGGACGAGTCGGATCATTCCCAGTCCCGCTCCTTGCTTGTTCTGTAAACACCGCTGTTTTGTGTGCGCTCGGAGACGCACCGGTGCGTCACTATCCGCTCACATTTTTTGGAGACGCAGCGCAAGAAGTGTGGCTGACTACCTCTACTACCAATCCGAATTGGATCAGCGGATCCGTCTGCAGCCGTTGTCCATGGGTGGGTGAGCGCAGCGCGGAGTGTCCTGCATCAGTGTTGGGATCCTCAAGTTGGATAAAGTTGTTCATGCAGACATTTAAGAATATTTCTGGATCAAGTTTAAAAATTGGGAAGGGTTTTCTGTTGTATTTAAAGCATGTTTTCTGTGTTTTCCGGTACTTTTAAAATCACGCATAATTTGGAAGAAGTTCATTTCTCTGTTTTTATACTTCGAGCTTGTTTTCGTGTCCGATGCACGAGCTCCTTTGATCGGCTCCATTTCGTTCATCCACCATCCTGTTTGTCCTGTTTTTCACCAGGTTATGAAGGAAGAATGGAGTTCCCAGACCATAGCCGCCAGTTGCTGCAGTGTCTGAGTCAGCAGCGTCACCAAGGTTTCCTCTGTGACTGCACTGTTCTAGTCGGCGAGGCTCGATTCAGAGCGCACAGAGCCGTGCTGGCCTCCTGCAGCATGTACTTCCATCTCTTCTACAGGGACCAGCTAGACAAAAGGGACGTTGTGCATCTCAACAGTGACATTGTGACAGCCCCTGCTTTCAGTCTGCTCCTTGAATTTATGTATGAGGGGAAGCTGGAGTTCAGCTCTCTGCCAGTGGAGGATGTCCTGGCAGCAGCCAGCTACCTCCACATGTATGATATAGTCAAAGTGTGCAAAGGCAAGCTTAAGGATAAGGAACTTTTGTGCCTGGACGAGGGTTTGGGACTCAGCTGCCTGGACAGGGAAAATTCCTCGGATGGCGAGCTGCACAGTAAACAGCTACTCCGGCGACAGCTCCAGTCACAGTCTCTGGGGCTTCACAGGGCCCCCCCGGCAGAAGAGTTTGACATGGACAACAGCGAACTCAGGCTGGCTGTCACAGATTGTGATAGGTCTACACGGAGCAGGCAGAAGGCGAACGGTCACTCTGGCAGGTCCCCGGACCTTGTAAGTGTCAATTATGTGTCAGCAGAGGCCGAGCCCTGCGTCCAAACAGCTGGAAAAACAAAAGCTGATGTCAGTAGTTCCACCGCATTGCTGTCCCAGAGGTCCCGGGCTTCAGATGACATGGACTGTGCACTGGATTTGTCTTTCAAGCCTCTGTCTAGCAGAGATCCCTTACACCCCTCCTACGTCTCGGGACAGCTGGCCCTCGACAGCCAGCAGCAGGGCATTGAGCCACTTGTTAAAGACGAACACGACTTGCTGTCAGAGCAGGAGGACAGTGAGCCGATGAGCCCTGAGAGCCAGCGCTTTGGGAATAGTGCCAGGAGCTCGGTGGTGACAGGGTTCGCTGCCCTCTTCCCAGGCAACAACGGCTCCACAGCCGCCCTGCTCTCCCAGGAGGAGGACCTGATGGACGAGGAGGGGGAGGCCTGCAGAGGGAGGGAGGGCGCCCCAGGCAGGGCGTTGGAGGAGCGGAGGGGCAGGCTTCTGGGGGACAGCGAGGAGGAGGAGGAGGACGACTTGGCCTCTTCAGACATCTCCACCTCCAGCGGCGTGCTCCTGCCCCCGGGGCAACAGGTGTGTGTTTGCCCTCTCTGTAGCAAAGTCTTCCCCAGCCCTCATGTGCTGCAACTGCACCTCAGCTCACACTTCCGCGAGAAGGAAGGCGCTCGCTCCAAACTGTCCCCAGATGGTTCGGTCCCCACCTGCATGCAGTGCAACAAGACCTTCTCCTGCATGTACACCCTTAAGCGCCACGAGCGCACACACTCTGGTGAGAAACCATACACCTGTGGCCAGTGTGGCAAGAGCTTCCAGTACTCTCATAACTTGAGTCGGCATGCTGTAGTGCACACACGTGAGAAGCCTCACGCTTGCAAGTGGTGTGAGCGGCGCTTCACCCAGTCTGGGGACCTCTACCGCCACATCAGGAAGTTTCACTGTGGCCTTGTCAAGACTCTCGCCATTGGATAAAAAACCTCTCACCAGTGCCATTGCATAAGACAGAAATGTCTTATCATACACTGAATACATTTACTGAACCATTCTCCTGTTAGTATACACATGTTGGCAGTCTGTCGGAGACATATCTTTTGGATTCTAAACCCATGTGGCATTTCTCAAGTTTAAAAAGATGTAGCAACTTCTGAGACTGGAGCTGTTTACTGTGCCGACGATGTTGAAGGTGCAGAGGCTGCTCAGATTAACATGGGTGCTGTGAAATTCAAGCTGGATCTGTGTGAGCGACGATGAACAAATCAGACGATGCACTTGTTTGTTTCTGCCCTGTTTGTGTCAATCTGTTGAGTTTATTTACTGAGAGAGAGAAAAAAACATCCTATGTTTTTACCCTCTGGGTAATGATGGCTAATGCTAACATATGTTAATACAATCGTTAGAGTAGTTGAGACTTTTGTGCACATGGGAGATCAGAACCGTCCGTGAGTAGCAATATTTGATTTTTTTTCAAACGCTCCTTCATTTATTATTATTATTATTTATTATTTGGGATTTGTTTAGTCCTCTAACAAGTAAACTATCATAAGGCAGCAAAACTAATGAAGTCTGACTACTGGAAGTATGATTAATATTATTGTTCACAGTTTATGTTTGGTTGAAATGAAGTCAACTACAGTTTTATGTTGTTTAGAACAAGAGACCCAGACCATTATATCATCATGTTTCTTTTTTTGCCTTGGGGAGAGTTAACAGCTCTTTTAGTTACTAATGTAAGTGTGCACATATCGATGACACGGCCTTGTAATACTTAAAAAGAAATGTTGTATAAGCAGCGGAGGGATGGAGAATTAGTCAGGGGCTGATGCCTGTAACACTGGTGCCTATTCAAGTCCTCAACCTAGTGTACTTACTAAAAACAAGAATGATATATATATTATCATGCCTTTAAATCTGGATAACACTCCGTATACCAGGTTATAACAAAGGTAATCGTCTGCTCTGGAAGGATCCAAGCGTGTGCTTAATTTAATAATTTTTTACAAGAATGTAATGAAAGTAAGTCAAGCTCCTGTCAGTTAAATGTTTATTTGTGCGTTTGGGTTAAAAGCAAAAAGTTGCCGGTAAATTACCTTGTTACTTCCTGGTATGGCATATAAAGGGCACGTTGATATGGGGTTTGAGGCAAACCCTCCGCAGGCAGGGAGGGCAAAGACGGAGACAGGTGGTGTTTGTCTGAGATGTGCCATTTGGCCGAACCTGCTGACTTTTCTTTCTCCGAATTAACTTTCTCCACATTTATTCTTACTGTACGTGTGTCTAAGTTACTACTGATGAAGTTGGAGCGTTTAGCGGCGCAAGTCTTTTGGGCGGGAAGTGGATCTTCTTCTGTCCGTTCCCAGCAGGAGGTGTGGCGCTAAAAGTTCCTGATATTTGTCTAATCTGTCCTGAGAAGACTTGATCAGAATTTTATTTATTAGTTTGGTTCAGGGTTAACTGTAGGTGTAGTTCTTGTTTCTATGAGCTCGAGAGACGCCACGTCTTGCCTATAGCGATCTTGGTACTCATTAACTGGTATTTGGGGGCTGTCTGTTCATTTTCTCTGTGCAAATCAAGTTACTGTAATTGTATTTTTAATACACCATGTAGAAACCTCTGTGGAGTGTTCAAGGTGTGTCACATGGAACATAGAGAAGCACTTGTTTTTAGCATGCGTATAGTTTCAACACTATTGTCTAGGCTGCTATTTCTTACTGTTTGTATATTTAATGTAAATATATATTCTATTTATCAGACTGTTTGTTTTTCCGTGTGACATCACGCATCGAGGAGTCAGGTGTCTTATCGAGGCCACCACCTCTTAAAAGTGTCACGTCTTCCAGAGAGAGTTTGGTTCCTTCTTTCTTTTTCCTCCATTTTTAAGACTTGATTGGAGTCCGCCCCGCACAAATCAGAGCAGTTAGTAAGCGCTCCGACTGCTGTTCGGCCACAGGAAACAGCGGTCCACAAGCACAGTCACATTGATACGGCATCGGCTACCTATAGAAACGAGACAATACAGGCATTGTCCCACCCCCACCTCTCTCCCTACCAAGTCCCAGGTAGTTCTCAAGGGATCATTGTGCATCTCTCTCTCAGAACTGTGGGGAGAAAAGCCAGCGCAAGTCTCTCTTTGCACTTTTCTGTATTGAATGGAGCCCTTGGAATGTGAGAAATGTATTTGGCAAAGGGAGACCAAGGAAACTGCAAACAGGTGTATTGTTCGGAGGCATCAAAGAACAGGGCCCCCCCCCCCGTCCCAGCATGCAGTAGATAAACGCTTCATTGTTCCCCCTACATGCAGAAGTACCACGGTGATTTGATTGCACATCTATCACGAGAATATCAGAGTATTGTTTTCAAGAAAAGTTGCAGAGACTGACGCGGAATATCTGGAATAGAGGTCAGACGTATGTGCTTTTAGCCTTTCCATTTCTACAGAGAAACCCTGAGGTTTTGTTTTTTTCTCATTTTGACTTTTATGTGAATCACCAAGGTTTCTTTCAGGACACAAAAGTGATTTCTGAGCATTTGCAAAGGTTTTAAGCGGAGAAACCCAAGTTTAGAAGGAATCAGATCATTTCTTTTGGAATTACATGCAACCTCCCGGACTGGCCGTTGACAACAGAGCCCTAGCGAACGGGAATTGCTTGTAGTTTGGCTCCCCTTGTTTACTTGCACAAACACTCCTGTTGTTCCCACGACAGGTTAATCACTTTGGTTATTCATCAGAACAATAGACTTGTGTCAGCTACATAGATGCCACAATAGTGTTAGTAATGTATATTTCAATCCAACCGCTGGAATGTAGATTGTCACTGTTTCATTTCTAATCTATCTAAAAATCACTTGATTCTCTAATGTACATGTGTACAGAGGTAGACGAACAGACAAACTAATGACATGTAAAAAAATCTCTTCCTTCTTTTTATTCTTTGCAGTCTTTATTTATACCTCCAGGATGATCACCACATGTGCCTTGTAGACACACGGATAGGTGTTGCATCTGGAGAAGGCCTTTTTCAATACTGAACATTTTTGCCCTCGTCGGCGGTGTCAACGTTCACATCACAGCTGCAGTGGCTCGCCCACTAATGTGAAACCCTTCACAGCTGTTGGTTCTTATTTTTCATTTCTATCATATCAAAAAATGTAAATCCTGACAAACTGAAGGTTTGAAGTCCATTTATTGTTGCTGCTTTGAGAGAGATTACATCAAGGTTTTGAGATTTATTTCACCCTTTTTTTTTTGTCTGTGACTAAATCTGTTTTGGATTTTTGTTAAACTGAAGACAAGCATTTGTGTTTTGGCTCTTTAGAAGCCAGTGCTAGTGGGAACTAACAGTATGTTCCTCAGTTAATGTCACTGTTGAATGTGAAACACTGAGATTTTGATTGTTGACTTTTGTGGAGATGGTGCCTCTCTCGACTGAGGGCTGTGTTCTCCTAACTCATGCTGTATGATCTTTTTAAGTAAAAAAAAAAAAAAGACTTTACCGATACTGGAATTTTGTCCTCTGCAGGATACAACTGTGAAATTGTGTATAATCATGAGAAATATTTATTATTGCATTTTGCTTCTTGTGCAACATTTGACTGTCTCCTTTTTAATTTGGGTTAAAAAAAAAAAAAAGACAAAAAGCTTCTAAATGTCAAACGAAAAATCTTTTTAATAGAATTTGTAGAAGTGCCATTAGATTTTAATATAATTTTTTAATAAGAAAGGTATATTTTATAGTAATCAATTGCTTCAGTGTTAGTCGTGTAGAGATTAGAGGACAATCTTTATGCAGAATTGACATTGCTTAGATATTGAGGCAATTTAATTTGATCTATAACTGTATGTGCATTTTCTTTGTTTGCGCTTTTGGAGTGTGCTTGTGTGTGTGTGTGCTGTGGAAATGTGACAATCTTGATTTAGGTCTTTATTAAGATTATGCATAGAATTAAATGGAACAACTTTCTTTCTTTGTCTGGACTCCATTCATTCATGTACATGCACCTTTTCACACGTAATCCAACACATGATGATCAATATAAGAGAAGCAGGTTCTTACTCATAAATACTTAAGAGGTGACTTGTCTGACACACAGCAGCAAGTGTGTGTGTGTGTCACTGCAATGTGTAAAGAGACAACAGAATGTGATAATACTGCTGGTCTTGCAGGCTGTATCCCTCTGAAACCATAAACTGAGCTCAAGGACAGAGCGATTTCAAGATGAGCTCCCATTGTTCCAGACCTGATGCCAATACTAGAGCTAAACATGGGATAACAGAGCCAGCTGCCTTTGTAATGTAATTATTACTTAAACTTAACTTATAGCAACTAAACTACACACGATTTGTGTTATCTGTACGTAAAGAAACATGTAAGAAACCTGCTAGTCTGCTTGATGCCAATTCAGTGGACATTTACAATGGGGAGAACTTTTAATTATTTCCCCGCTGCACCATGAAAGAAATCCAGCTGCTCCGCGGCGTGATCCCAATGGGGATGTGCTCGGGTTCCCACCACCCTCCCCCCAGGCCCAGCTCACCCATTCTGGGAACGCCATATAGACATGGGCCACATCCAACTGCCCCTGCCCCCATCCATCCTACCTCCACCCCCACAGCCCCCAAAACCATGGCCCCAAACCTCGGCCTCATCCCACCACTCCATTGTGTGCATGGGTAGTAGTTCAGCCAGGCTATTGTCTGGCGCGGCTCCCCAGCACGTACTTTATGCACAAACAGACGACACAGCGGCGCTGGCCAGGCAGCTCCAACATAAAGAAAACAATGTCCTCCCAAGATCATTCATAAACACCCTGAACAGCCCTGGCAACAGCTTCGCCCACAATAAATAAGGGCCACTCCGCAGCGCTATGGACACCTCACACTGTACACATCCACAGCAACATCTCACATCTGCCTTCAGGATCCAGGGGCTGCCTGGTGTGTGCATGTGTGTGTGTGTGTGTTAACTATGGACCAAGACCTTCACATGGAAAGTTGGGGCCATGTGATAGAGCTTAGCTGCAGGGTGACGAGCTGGGATATGTGCAGTGTAACTCGATGGTGTAATAAAACATTCCTTTTCTGAGGCTCAAAGCCGGGCTCCTTTGGCCTTGAATGATTTTTGTGTGTGTGTGTGCGTTTAGAGGCACTCAAGAGAAGTTGAGAGGAAAGTTGTAAGTGTCCACAACCTCAACAGGGCCAGCGGTGGGAGCCCTTGACCTCTGAAGGGACAGACTGCCAGGGACAGCTGGTGTGGCCTGTGTTTATTTATTTATTTCTTAACAAAAGACAGGTGGTCACACTTGAAAAGGGCACACAAACAGTCACACGCGCCTGTGCACAGACGATGCACGTGCACACACACACACAACCACAGGGGTAGTTTTTCTCTGTATTAACACATGCATACGTTATCATCCACTTAATTTTGCAGGAGCCATTCTTATGACTTTCAGAAAATCACGCTACTGCCCAGAACAAACAATAATAATTGGATTCTCAATGAATAAACTAATAGTCTGGAGTAAAAATAAATCTCAGCCAGAGTCCATTACAGCCAGCTTTTACAAATCAGACATGTGAAGCAGCATTTACACTCTTAATCCCAACCTGCGACCCAGATCTGAACTCTGTATGAATTGCTACATGTGCATAAGTACATATCAACTGGTGCCCTCGTATACTGCGTTTGCCTTTTTTGGAGCGGCTTGCCCTGACAGTGCCAAGACAGTGTGTCCTTGGTCCAGTGTACAGCTGTCACTTACTCACACTCGTTGACGCATATTTATAGCAGCAGCATCACTGGGCCTGACGCTCGCCACGCTCAGACCACAGCTGGTCCCCAAAAGAATGGGTGAAAGACAAAGCCACGTGCTCCCGCTGGCCGGCCGCAGTTGGTCCTGTCTGGAGCTCTGTGGGCGATTATGTGGCCCCCTTCTCCTCGCAGACATGCGGGCCATACATGCAGCAGGGAGAGGATGAGGAGGGCCCATTCATGGGGCGGGGGTGAGAGAGAGCACACCATGACCTTTTTTTCTCTCTTTCTCTTCTTTGGGTGTCAGGGATGGGGATGTAGTGAAAACCTTGGCAGCTGCAGCTGTCTTGTTTCTGAAGGTGCATAAACACATCACATCCTTATTAAGCGATAGCAGGGGGGGGGGGGAGGCTGCGCATCAGCATCCTTTAGTCTAATAAGTCCACAATTAATATAGTGGACATTTTGGATGACATACAGCAATGTCCCCTGTTTAATGTCCTGCATCTAGAGTCTTAAACGTTTTGCTTTCAGAATAAGGAGAGGGTCAAGACAATGGAGTCCTGCCACTGATATTTGCCTCTTTAATGCAATAGCCCTGATTGATTAAGGTGAAGGAATAGAGGATGAATGGAAGAGTGATTCTTGAGGTTGTGACCTGTGCCGACTTTTCTCCATTGACATTCTGTAAATTACTTTCCCAAAGAGTAATAAAGAGAGGTCTGATGCAACGATGGATCACAGGAAATTGGTTGAATGGTTTCATCGTTGAAAGCGGGACTCAAATATTTGGAGCTTTCTGTGACTCATAACTCCTCAACAGTGTTACTCAGACCATTACAACAAATGTATCTCCTCAGGATAAAGAACATTTCCAACATGTCCTTGTAATTTCAGCTGGTTAGTTTAGTTAATCTGCATCTGCAGTCCCTGGACAGCGAATACAGTATACCACATGAAAACATCATCTGAAATATACTTGGCGATTAGGATAATAAGTAGCCTATAGTTAGACACTATGTTGGAAATGTTGTGTGTTACTTGGAGAGCCACGGAAATAAAGACATTTTTGTGAAACATCTAGTTTTATGGAACTTTTGTATTGGGGCTGAACTGTATTTTTCCCCATTATCCGTAGTCTATTAATATCCTTTACAACTAATGACTCAAAAAAAAAAGTTCGAAGAGCTCAGAATATCACTAAATATCTTGTTTTGTATGATCCAAATGTTTAAAACCCAGAGATTTTCAGTTTACAGTGATTCAACCCATAGATTCAACAATAAATGAATTGAGTCTTCAACGAATCTGCCGCAGATAAATATTCTGCGTTATCACCTATTGATTTCAGCCAATTACTCCTATCCTTTTATAAAGTGGATCCAAAGGCCAAATTGGCATACAATTTTAAATGTGTCTTCCTTACAAGTGTTTAATAATCACCTCCGAGTTCCTTAAAGCCTTATCAAGAAATGTGCAGACAACTTGACGCCTTGCTTGCCAGCAGCTGTCTTGTTCGCTGAGCCAGAAATCAAGTGGTGCCCTCGGACACCAACTGCAGAGCTCCCCAAAGACCGACAGAGCCACAACTGGCCCGCTGAGCCGGGGATGTGACTCAACAGCTCACAGGCGCATATGCAATAAGCTCCAGGAAGTGTACTCATCCATGCTAATATCTATAATAGCATGTCATGCGGCTGCTTTCTATAAAGCTGAGTGCTGAGGACTTGTGCCACCAAGAACAATTACTCACAGTGTACAATACCTGACCCTGAAAGCAGTCATCATCAGTGACGAGCCATGGCCAAGACAAAGTGATGACTACACCCTCAAGGTCGTGTCCAGCGGGGATAATTGTAGCCAAATTGTCTGCTGCAAATGCCCCGGTCCTGCTCAACCTCTGGGTCATCTTGTTTTAATAAATAAATTTGATAGCAGATTCTCAAGGTCAGCGCAATGCAGGCTGGATTGGAATTTCATTATCATTGCCAAGCTGAGACAAAACTTTCACACTTTTAAGTAAGAGGTTGAAAAAGTACCTCCTTAGCACGGTGAGATTAATTTGTTCATCCACACACAAAGCAGCATTCTGTGAATTAGCCTGACTGGGACGCAGTCGGCGAGGAACACGGTTAAGTCCTTGAAGTGTGCTGCCATCTGCTGATGCATCAACAACACAGACAGAAGACAACTCGGTTGCCTTTCAGGGGATTTAGTAGTTTTGTAATATTTATGAAATTAAGTTCCTGTGCATCTTTAATCATTCAGATTATATAAACACATTAACAAGTGAACTCAAAAGAAATTTCATTTAACTGTGTACAAAATAGTTCAAGTTTATTTCAGTTACTTTTGAAAAGGAATACATATACACATATACAAGATTTTGATCACATTGTTAAAAAAAACACCACAGGTATAAAATGTAGTCTGAGCAATATGTCGTGTCTCATAACTAAATATACATTAGATACATATTCAAGCATAAACTCCTGATCAGTCCTTTGATCCTCCTTTATGTCGAGCAGCTGCAGCACAGTACTTCATCATATTGTCCGCTGTAACTGTGGGGGGGGGGAAATGATACTGAATATTATCAACTTGTTTATATGTTATCATTGATCATTAACAGAAAATGTTTTCGAAATGTTGGACCATTGCACTATCCAAGATGACTTCACATTCACCAAGTTGGGGTTTCAGTGTTTCTCAGACTTTAAAGGCCAGTGCTTAGGATTTACTGGCATCTAGTGGTTAAACTGAAAACCCCCTTCACTTCAGTTCCAAGCATGTAAGAGAAACTTTAGAGGCCTTCAGGTGACATAACACAAAAGGCACTTGTTCCAGCCAGTGTTTGATTTGTCCTGTCTGGGCACGCTATATAGATCTAGAGGCTCTATTCCAAGATAACAAACTGGTTCTTGGTTCCAGGTGATTTCACACTAATGATAATATGATTTTAAATATTATATTCCAATTTCTGCCCATAACCTTAACCCTGAATCCTACACACTGGATCTCAAAGGCTACATCGACAAGTGGATAGAGGCAGCCATGAGCACTACAGGTAAAAAAATGATACAGAAAAGGAAACCAACTACAAAATATGCTGCAACACGGCAAAACTTGCAGTGTTACGGGAAAAATAACCTGATTACATAAAAACTGTAATTCGATCTAAACTTGTACGTCATGAACAGATTTTCCAAGTAAGTTACTTGGTCCAACTCACCATTTGAAAGATGTGAGTTGCCTTGTCATACATAAAAAGACAAACTAGCAGTTAAATAGTTTCTTGCCAGCAACTGATGTTTTAAGGCCAATATTTTTGTGCCTGGTTTGGACAATTATGAAAATCCTCCTAACAAAAAGGAGAAATGCTGTCTATCCTTTGGTTTTCTTGTCAACTGAAATTTAACAGTTATATTGATAAAGAATAAAGTTTTTTAATATTCAACCATGTTGAGGTGTTTGGGGAAATGGAGTGACAAGGCAATCAGAAATGACTTACTCTATGATGGTGCAGACGGAGCAGCAGAAGCTGGAGCAGCTCGAGCATTGTCGCGTACAGGAGGAACACACTGGGCGGTCACATTGGGAGCACGGGGTCCTGGAGCCCTGGCTCTTCTGACAAACACAGCAGCCTGCAGGAATCGCTGGTGTACCTAGACACAAGGTACACCGCACAATGGATTGGCATTTAGCAAAGCACCTCAGTTTGAGTGCACACTTACCATCCTGTGCCAATGGTGACATCTGCTGGTAAAAAACAAACAAACCTTTTCTTTTGGGGTATGGAGTACACAGCGCCCTCTGCAGCCAGATGTGGCAACTCATTCTTTTGGGCTCAGTGTCTAAGTGATTTGAGGCTTTTTGTGTAGAAAAAAACAAAGCATATCAGTCTCTTGACTGGAGCTCTGACTGTGTTGTCCCACTCAATGAACCGAAACACAACTGAACGGTGGACATCACCCATGATCCACAGCTTCCTGAAGCAGAAGAGCTGTTGCTGTGACAATTACACTGAACTATATTCAGAATTCTTGATATTTTAAACATTTCCTGAATATTGGAAATAAACACTGGTTTTCAATGACTTAAGTCTTTTAAACTGATCTACAGTTAAGCATTACTTGTGAACTTGCTGGGCCTGATTCTAACAATTAAAATCAGTCAGTTAAACACTTCTCACAGGAGACTGTACTCGCACACCAAAGTTACATAGAGCAAGAACGGGAGTCTGCAAAGGGAGAGGGGATGAAAGAGGCACCATTTTCTCTATTCCAAGTCTGTGAACAATCTAACTTTTTTTAAAGCTGCTATTTTGAGGGGGGGAAATCCTTTGTGTGCTTTGCAGCTTACTGTGCCATATTCCTTTTTGTGCCAAACATTCTCTCTCACCCAATAAAGCACCAAATGTCATGGTTTGGGGGAAGGAATCATTACAGCATCTGGCAGTGTGAGTATTCTGCTAATACACAAAAATGTGACGATCGTTTAATTAATAGTAAGTATATCATATGGACTAAATCAAAGAAAAGGTTTGTCATTGCTAGCATCTTGGATATGTCATTAACCCAGACAACATAATTAGTTGGGTACAATTATTAATCTCTCTGACCTACGTTTTCCGTGATCTATTACAGGACAACTTGTGGTCGAACTATTGTGTCAGCTGTTTGAGGACAATCACAATCTTGACTTTACATGGTCCAATAAGTATTTCCACTAGGTTGTATGTTCACTGAGGACTGCTGAACACACTCTTACTTTAGGTCTTGCTAGGAGAGTGTGGCCCACTTACTCCAAAGGATCTACTTGCATTATATGTGACTTCCAATACTTCTTTTGAGAAGAGATCAGTCACTTCACTACAGTGCTTTCACTGCTCTCACATCTTTAGACCTTGTATGACTTCCAGCCAGGAGGCTATGTTTTAACCCCTGTCTGCTGGTTTGCTTAATTGTCAGCGGGTTTTACGCAAAACTATGAAACAGCAAAGTTTAGTGGAAGGGTGTGACATGGGCCAAGAAAGAACCCAATAAAATTTGCCATGGATCCTTAACAAACGGATTTCACTTGGTTAAACATTGCAAAACTGCAAGGCAGTTTTCATAATTTTATAAAATAAAAAAATTAGGTATATTTAGAGGACGTGTATCCATGAGTGTGTGAAATTTGGTGCAAATCTATAATAAAAAATGAATGAGGAGACTGTGGGGCCTCGTTGGAGGTATGCACACCACTGAGGGCCGTTCTATTATTATTGTTTTAGTGAAAATCCCACTGAGGTTTTTCTCCAGCTGCGTCCCAATGTGGGGATCTCCTCTACATGGCCTACGAAAGAAGGATGCCCCGTGACTTGGGACATGGCTTCTGATTCAGTGGCAGCTTTTTGACCTTTTATAGAATGTGGATACAATAAGATTAATGTTCCTGTTTTACTCATCAGAAATATTCTCATGCTGCTGTGTCCAGATGAGTCGGTGCATGTGGTTTCAACCTGTTCTCACCTGGTGCAGCGTTTACTCTCGTCAGTCTCCCATCGTGTCCAATCAGAGTCTGTCCTCTCAGCAGGGTCTGGTTACATGCGGGTGTCTCAGCTGGTCCTGCTGACTGCGGGTCCGTGGACTTCTCCTCTCCGGTCCAGATTCTGTCCATCACGACCTTGGCTCCGTTAAAGAGCAAGTTCTTTGTCTTCTCTGGTGAAAGAAAGAGACGCCTACACGTGACTCTCCGCACACTGTGTTAGCTCAGAGGTCATTAGCCGTGAAAACCTTGTTCAACAGGGCAAACTAATGACACGACAAGTATCATGTGACCGCTAAACGTTTGGTGAACACGAGCAAACACATTGAAAGCGACCACCGWCAACAAATCGAGGACATTTTGGAAGATGAACCAAATCCCGCTGGAAAACATTTTACGACGCTAGCTCGTACTTACCGTAGATTTCCTGCCGGTATTTGTTCCCGAACACTCCGAAGTTGTTCAGCTCCTGTTGTCTTACGTGTACTTTGTACTGAGAGGAGAAGGTCTCAGGGAACGGACACGATCTCTTCGGCATTTTAGCAGCTGAACTAAAGTTACACGGTCCAACACACGTCCGGACTTGTTTGTTGCGGGAAAAAGTGGAAGGGAAGATGCGAGGAGCCAATCACGCGCCTTCTTTATTGTCACGTGAAAGCTAGGAGCCAATCGAATCGCTGCTCTGCCGTCATGTGACATCTGGCTTAATACTAAACTTCCCGCATTATGCTGCGTTCACGGGCTGTGGAGAATTCTGTGAAGTTTTTGTTGTTTAATTTAAAAAAGCAACAACAGGAGATTAGTAGAAGACATGAAGGAAAGGTGCTCATTTTTCTCTTACATATTTATTTGAATCAAGTCAACGAGTTTCTTTTTTTAAACTTATGATTAAATTCCCAAAATAATCAAAACAGTCCCAGTTTATCTAGTAACTTTTATTTGAAAATATTGGTGCCAGTTAAAATGGTGACATGGCTTTTTATTGACATCTGTGGTATACTTACATCCTCTAATAGTCATAATAAAAGAAGAGAAGAAGAGATTTTTAGCTGCAACAAAACAAACAAAACCAACACTGCTAAAAGGCTATATAGATGATTTGTTTATTAACCAATAAAGAGAAAATCATTTTAAGGTCTTGAAAAGATGCCCCACGATCAGTTCTTCCATCAAGGGGAGGTGAAGGTTTCCCTCTAGAACATCTGGATCATGCACTCTCTGGACTTTCCAACACCAACCCACTTAACTGATGAGAGAGAAAGAAACAGAGAAAGATTAGAAAAGTGAGAAAAAATGTAAAAGGCTATTATGGATATATTTGAAACATTAGCGCCTAATGGATATCATGTAGTTTCCTCATCTGTGTTTATTTTAGTTTGTAGGCTTTCAGGGCAAATACTGCCAATACTGTATTTTCCAGCATTCCAATTCATTGGTGTTTGATGCTTATTTTGTGTGAAACTCACTGGGAACTCCGATGTGATTCTCGATGAAGCGGATGTAGTTTTGTGCCTTGGGGGGGAGGTCGTTCCACTTCCTGGCTGCAGACGTGTCCGTCTTCCAACCAGGGAAGGTCTCATATTCGACTTCCACTTTGTGCAAAACATCCATGTTGGCTGTTATTAAAAATAAAATGATTATTAACAAAGACAAAGACCTACTATATGTATATATATATTTATATGTCATCAAATAAGGCAGATGGGTGTGTGAGTTTTATTATTACTTCCACCAAGAAGGTTACATTTTTGTCGGATTACGCAAAAACTGCTGGACGGATTACCACAAAACTTGGTGGAAGGATGTGGTGTGCGCCTGGAAAGAGCCCATACACCTTTGGTGGGGATCCGGATCATAGGTCAGATCCAGGTATTCATTCCTCTTTCATTGTGAGATAGGGCTGTTTTTCAACATTTTAATTTATTTCTCAGAGATTAAGTCAATGTTCTTGATTTAAGAAACCAGGCATGTTTAGGGGACTGACATTTATGATGTAGTGAATTTAAATGTGGTTTCATATGGACACTGTTGGGCCTTGGCAAAGGTATATGCACCTCTATTTTTACACATAGTTTCTTCTGTTAAATCACCTGGAAAATGGGGAATTCTTTTTCCATTGAGTTTGTAGGCGACTCCAACTTTGATTTCATCCAGCACGTCCAGAATGTCAAGTTTTGTCAAAGCAATGCTGCAGGGAAAATAACATGTCAGTGGTGAACAAGTTTTTTTCCCATTTTATGATGGTGCAGGAAAAAAAACATACTTGAAGCATAAATGTGCTTCAAAATAAAAAAAATAGACAAAAGATCTGATTTTCTTAAAGTCACTCACGCTGTGAAGCCATTAATCATATGAGCGTATCTGACGATGACTAGATCCAACCAGCCGCAACGGCGCTTCCTTCCTGTGGTTACGCCCACCTCGTGACCCCTCGTCTGCAGCAGCTCTCCTACTGCCTATAGTAAAATGGAAAAAAAACAACTTACCTCTTAATTTTTATCATTCACGCACTTGAATAATGTCCTACAGGACCCTAAAAATACATATGATCTTGGGTTCTATAAACAGTTGAGTACAATAAAACATGACATGTGCTAGTGAGATAGTTTTCAGTTTGGACATCTTGACCCATGTGTGTGACAAGTAACACAACCCCAGCACCATAGTAAATATATCCTGAACCCACACTCTCACCCTAAATTTATCCCCTGTGAACATGTGACCTGCATGAGAAGTAAAGAGTGTTTGAGCCTATCTCTCCCAAATTTTGACAGCTGCACTCGGTCCCGTCCATCGGCCCTGCCGCCCATTTGTCAGTCCCATGATCACAGTGAATTACATAACATGTCATGTGTTCCTCCTTCATACAATAAGACGGCCAGTAAAAAGAATATGTCATGTGACAGCATGTGGGATAGATGTCTTAATAATATCAGTACTATACTATATCCAGCCCTTACGTTGAGTTGCTCTGTGGGGAACGCTCCGATTCCCACTCTGGTGGTGTAGGCCTTAGCTACACCGAACACTTCACCGATATTCAGAGGAGGGATGCCGAGACCAGTGCACGCCCCGCCCACGGTGCAGTTTGATGATGTTACAAAAGGATAAGTACCTAAAAAGAATAATTCAATAAGTTAAGCAGATCATTCCCAGATCCACAAAGGCAGATCCACATTTTCCTGATGAATTAAAATCTATTTTATCGGTGCTGACTCTACCAAAGTCAATGTCGAGGAGAGCTGCATTGGCCCCTTCAACCAGAATTTTTTTTGGATGTCCATGAAGAGCTTCATACATATAATAGACCCCGTCTCTCACCATCGGCCGCAATCTCTCAGCGTACTCCTGCATGAAACACAAAGAGCAGAATGTTTTGTTGTGTCAGTTAGAAGCAAAATCCTCAAATTTCATTAATGTTTCTTTGATGCTCACCTTGAGTTTTTTCAGTTGGTCCTCAATGTCAACTTCCAAGGATGGATACATGGACTGATACTGGTGGACGAGGTTCTTGAATCTGGAAGGAAATGGAAATTGTGGATCATGGCACAGTCGTGCACTGTGACGGTATCTTTATCATCATTTTTTTCCTGTCATGTCGACCTGGTGGAGAAGTCCTTAAAGTCCGCCAGGAGGTCACACACACGAAGGCCAGTGCGAGAAGCTTTGCTGGAATATGCAGGTCCAATGCCTTTCTTGGTTGTTCCAATGCTGTCGTAATAAAAACAGGAGAATAATTGCAGATATATTTGTGCATGTCTTATCTTTTGTCAAAACTGCAATCTCTAAATCAATATATCACTTTTCTCTGTATCCTTACTTCTTTCCTTCTTGTGCTTGTCGCTCACTTTCCTGTAAGCCATCGACAACCTGGTGGAAATCAAACACTGCGAGAGAGAACACACAAATCAATAAAACACATACAAACACACATTTTCAAAAGACATGTTGTTTCTACAGGCTAAACAATACATACCAAGGTGAGCTCTGTCTGAGACGATAAGTCTCTTGTCCCAGCCTTTCAGACCTGGTCAGAGAACAGAAATCACAGTTATGTGAGGCAACATTAATCTAAATTTACACGAGTGCATTAGAGTGTTTTTCTTTCCTAACATACCTTTCTTGTCATTTTTATCACCTTCCTCAAACAGGCCGGGTAGATGTATGACCACTCCGTTACCTATAAGATTAAAAGTAAGAGTTGACTTAGAGTAAAACCTTTACCAGTGTTCTCTAGTATAAGGACTAAAGATCGAAGCCTTTACCAATGAGTGATGTGCTTTTGGGGTTGATGATTCCACTTGGGAGGAGGTGGAAGTCATACTCCTTGCCGTCCACCACCACTGTGTGTCCTGCATTGTTGCCTCCCTATAAATCAAAGCAAACAATGAAATACAGTATGATGTTACTCCCGCCGCAGGACAGATGACATTAAGACCTGTCTCGTCTTTTTTCCATGAGGTGCTGATAAGCCACCCTCTTCTCCCCAATTCACTGCTATTTAAACAGACTTGGCTTGTTGCTGGTGGGTCCTCAACTCAGTGTTCCCCCCTACCACCCTCCCCCGGCTAAGGCCTGGCCTTCTCACATATCCAGCCAGCCTGAGAATGTGACCTCGCTCCAGCATGGTGGGTGGGGCTCTCAAGCCTCCAGACCACAGGGTGCTGGTCCTGTCAGTGGAGCAAGCAACAACACAGCAACTGTTGGCAGGACTCACTGTGTCCTGGTGCTGCAGTGACCTACGATTTCTGACCAGGGGCTTATGTTTCTCACTGCAAGTGGACAGATCCTGACCTGTCTGTGAATTTGTGAATTTAATGCAACACAAATAGCTTCATGTAATCTCTTTGTGATCAGGCTGGTTTAGAGATGGGTATTTAACTGAGGATTCGGTCTTGAATGTTGCACTTGTCCATAAATACTGGAAGGTAATGACATTTGGCACGGTTCTGCACCATTTTGCAAAACATACAACACCTATTCCAACAGCTATGTCCATATAGCCTTCATAGCCTACTCAACGCGGCTAATTGTAATAGTCTAAAAGGTTTCTCAGTTATGAACAAGTGTTTTCACTGAGCACCTGTTGCGCTCCACCAGCCAGTCGTTGACAGGTTCCATTTAGTGGTTTTAAAATCACACCAAAAGAAAATGGCATGCTGCAGCAAAAATGCAATGACAAGAGCCCTCCGAAACGTTTACCTGACATCTGCAGACAACGTCCGCCTCAGTCGCCAACAAGTCGACCACCTTCCCTTTGCCCTCGTCTCCCCACTGCGCGCCGAGCACCACCGTCACCTTGTTCCCCGCGTCGTTACGCGCTCGCTTCTGCGGCCCGGTGGCTGCGGGCGGAGTCGTGTTTTTGTGGTCTTTCGCCGACCAAGTGTGAGACATGACGGTGCTGGCTGTGGTCGGTCCGCAAGAAGACTAACGCGTCTCCAAGAGGGGGCTTTGCCATATCTGTAACCTCAGAGCTGATGATGTCACAGCCAGACGCGCAGGAGTGTCTCTGCGCTCTGGGCAGATCGTCTCCAGGGCTGAGGAAGCAGCGGGGAAACATATTAATGTTTGTGTCCTAGGCAGGAAAAAAAACACACTTGTCACACTTAAAACATTTAAGAATATATAAGTCATATTTTATATAAAGATATGAACAATCTGTAATTTCATTTGTCATTTAATTTTCAATATCAGTCTTATTATAAATAAGTATACGTTTAAGTATGTCATGTAATGTCCCTGGAACATTGAAAAAGTATTATTTTTATTATATAATACAGGAAAGACCTGTATATATAGACCTATATATAAAATATAATACATATGTACATACAAATATATACATGTGTATATTTTTATTATATAAAAATGACCATTTGTCCTTGGGCCAGATTTGGTCATTCAACCCTGCTTGACTATGGATTTATCATTCATCTTTATTTGATATATAAATGACATATTAATGTTCATTTCAATGAAATTCCAGTGTTGCAAGATATATTAAACTTTGTGTTATCACAACTTATTTTAATTAAAATTAAAATAAAAACAAAAAACTACACCGCTGTAAATGCAATTAATTCATAGAATTGGAAAGTAATTGATTAAGCTATCGAAGAAACGGATTCAAAGACTTTGGAAAAACAGTTGAAGGTATAAAGGTCGTTAAAATGAACACATTTATATGTTTGCATGAATATCTTTGTGATTAAAAACACACAACTCAATAGTAATTCAATTTATTAAAATATACCTCACATTAAAAGTTACAATCCATCATATGCTGTTCCCCTTATAACTGTTAAGAGTTCATCTGAATAATATATATACAAAGAAATGATATTTTTTCTATATGTGTTACAGTAAATATCTGGCACCAAACACTGTATCTTTCTTTCTCAAGGTGCTGAAAGGTAATTGGAGCTCATGATAGAAAACAAAACATGCATATTACAACAACTTTACAAAACATACAAAGAATATCCATATTTTTTGAATAGCTCTGAATCAAAAACACCCATGTACACAAAAGTTAAACAATTCATATACATAAAGTGACAAGATTACATCCACGCTGTTCAAACCCCAGCTGTAGTTGTGTCCACTCTCTCGAAAGACAAATCATCGCAAAAGAAAGATCTCTGCATCCTCTCGAAGGCAGTCGACATTCATGTAGTCTCGCACAAAATTAAATATATATATAGTTCTTCCAGTTCAGAACTCCACTGAGAAATTAACATTTTCTTTTTCCTCTCGATTTCCTTTTTCTGGAGTCACCTGGGGAAACAAAGGCTAAAATGAATGGATGGAATATAAAAAATATAGCAAAGTTTGTTTAAAGTCATATTCAGACCTATACATAACAAAAACTGTTGGCTTCAAGGCCAAGAAATTTTGTCACAATTCTTTGCGTGCATGATTATATTTACTTAAATTCTTTTTTAAAGTTATAAAAACATGTTTAATGTATTAACAGCACATATAGAAATAGTATCTTTCATCAGTAAGATTAAAGCACCCTTTACAGGAACCCAATGAGTAAGTAAGATGATTAAAAGAATAAAAAACAGTTCCAGCTGCTTATTTAAGGAAATGGACAAGAAAATATGAGAAACAAGTGAAAAGCTTTCATGAGACAACTCAAGTCCACGATGACTTCACGAGACGCCACAAACTGTGAGGCTGCTTGAGACCAGAACACTGATGTTAGAAGATCACATCACCATTGATTAAAGGATATAAAATTACACAAACTTTAATATTTCCCCCCAGGTTTAATGGACATAATAATCAACTGAAGACACGGGTCAAACAAGGCCGGAGATAGACTTGCTTTTAACTGTGTATGTGTCATGGCTGACTTGTGCCTTCTGCGTCCATTTGGTGTGTTGGTCGTGGACGTCCTTGGAAATTAGGCAAATTGCAAGTATACATGTGAACAGTAGGGGCAGTATGTGACATCTGGTGTCACCATGTTTTTCTTTACAGAGTCCAAATCCATAGTTTGTACATACACGTTCTCTTGTGGACTCTCCAGTAACACGCATACTACACAGCGAGCCTGTGAATAGTGACGCATGTTGTCATCTATGTGAAAATGTGTCTAAACGGCTAGAAAATCTCCGGCCTTGAGCTTCAGGCTTGATAACCACTGCGTTGGAAAGGTTTTAGAGAGAAATAGCAAGTGTTAAAAAGCTGGACAACACAGACAAATGAAATCTTGATTCCAGTTAGATCCACAAAATGACGTGTTATTTGTGACAAAAGCGTCGACAGTGATCATTAGGATGATGGGCCTGCTTACAGTTTGCCATCCCACCGATTTGGACCTACCTCACTGCAACACACAGCCTTTTTTATGTTTAGTGTGTCCTTTCCCACTGTTACCTTGTGTTTCAGAGAATCAAAACGGAGAACAGAGCATTCAAACAAAGCTGACCACACATTGAAATCCATTCAGTATTGACGTGATCTGAAAGTCAACTGCTACACATTGCATCCATACTCTTTAATATAAAACTGCATGTAAATCATGCAAAAAACACTTAGGAACATATACTAAAGTAGCCCATGCATAAAATGTAAAATGCGAAATGCAGTAAAAACAAAACAAATATGGATTTCCTTTTAAGACACATCAAGAGACTAGCATTCCAAACGTGATGTTTATTGAAGTTAATGGAGGAGTTACCTTGGTTACTCTTCTTTTTGTTTCGTTTTAAGAGGCTCTGATGTTTCTTTACGTCGGGCTTCAGGGATAGAGTTTCCTCTTCAGACACCGATGGCCGATCTTGTACTTCTACTCCATCTGGGACGTCACACCCCTCAATGACCTCATCAAGTGCAGCCTCGTCTTGGCTGCACGTTCTTGCGACAATGGACTCCTGCTCCTCTCGACAGGTCTCTGATAAATGGCTTATTTTATTATTAGTTTCACCTTCCCCGTCTCCATTTTTATTGCTTTGACTGCTCTGTGTTACATTAACATCTGTACTAAGTAAAGGAGATTCCTTGACCTGAATATTCACAGTAATGTCCACTGGTTGCTCAGGCGTTAGCTTCTCAGGTGCCAGGCTGGAAGCGCCATCTAACGCAGCCTCCAGCAGGTCAGAGTCTGAGAGGGAGGACAGGCTGAGGACGCTGGTGACAGTTGAATCCAATGACAAGCCATTCGTGGCAGGACATGGTTGATGTTCCTCCTTAACCTGAGCCGGAGGTTGTCTCGTTGCTAGAGAAGGCACTGCAGGTGTCTCTGGATGCTGAGCCTTCAGCAGCGAAGCAGGTCTTTCCGGGGGTGCCTGCGTAGTCACGGCTGGCTCTCCTGGGGTTGTGTTGGGAGGTGGAGCTGCTCCGTCTGATGTGGCTCTCTGCGGAGCTGGGGGAGTCTCTTCTGACGGGCTGATGAAGCCGTTCACCTCGTCTGTGCTGACCTGGTGACCCTCTGTCGGAGATTTGCTGGGAGAGGAACTGGTGGCTATTTCTGCGGCTTTTTCGTCTGCAGGCTTGGCACTTGATCCTGAAGAGGGGGAGAAGGAGGGAGCATTGATGTACATTAAGACAACTATCATATTTTAAACGGGATGATATTAATAGAGTGGATGGAATGCATAATAGTAAAAAAGGGCACTGCTGAAGCAAAAGCTAATAGAGCTCAACAAACGCAGCAGAGCGATGAGGCTAGCTAAGCGAGATGTGAGCGGTTTTTAAAAGTAGAAACAAAAAACGGGCTGAGAGCAAGACAAAAAAAAGCAAGACAAGGCTGTATTGTGGCCAGCAGTTAAAAGGCTCGGGAGCGGAGCTGGGAACTGCAGATGGTGGCCACTCTCTTGTCCTTACCAGGCAGGCAGGTATCCCTACGCTTTTCACTAGAAGGGAGGCTTTCCGAATCGCACCTTGGCCTGGTCTTTCTGAGGCTGAAACCTTTCCTGATATCCGCCAGGAGGTGGTCGATGATGCAGCCGTCGTTCTGTGGCACGAAGCCTTTCTTGACTGGAAACAGAGGGGTGAGAGTTCAAATTACATTGTGGTGTGTTAGAAACAGTGAGAGAAACGGAGGCTGTTTGCAACTTACTGATTTTTCCGTTCTCTCCCTTCTGTCTCTTGGACTCCTCCTCTGCCAGCTGCTTCTTTCTCTTCTCAGCCTTGGCCACCTGCTCTTTCCTGGTTTTGTTTTCCTGTCATCACAAAAGAAAGGATGTCACTCACTGCAGAGTACAAAACGTACATAGCAATTTATCATCGTTTCGTTTGGACGGTGATATATTAACACTTATCAGTTTCTCAGTATAATGATACCTATGATCCAAAGACAACACCACCCCCACACAGAAGAGTAAGACTTGATGGCTGAAAATAAATGAATCATCAAAATGGCTGATGCCAACAAAGCATCTTCCCTGACCTTTAATGCTTTGATGCAAAGTTCCCGAAAAGTCCTGAGGGTTCCAAAGAGTTCCTCGAGGGACAGCTGATTAGGGTCCTCACATAAGTAAACTGCCAGCTCACTTCTCTGCTTGTCGATGTCTGTGAACCTTTCACTTAGAGCTCGACATGCCTCCACACTTTCCTGGAACAGAGAAGAAGACGGCGGTGTTTGGAATGTAGCTCCAGCTGCCAAAAACATCTTAGGGTCATGCATTTTGGCTCAATTTGTCGGAAAAACCAGAGACCTGTCATCTTACTTCAAGAACTTCTGCATACTGCTCCTTCACCTCCTCCACAGAGGTGGAGACCTTCTTGACCGCCTCATTCAGTCGTTTCAGTAAGGAACTGGCATCCGACTGAACCGATTCCAGATTCACACTGAGGAAAAAGTGTAAATAAAGTCACATGTCTGTTATGGATCACTGAGAATATGAGCTGGAGGGGAAGTGAAAGGTACCCTGCTGCTTTTTGACAGATCTCTATATCTTCTGGCAGCGCCAACAGTTCCGGGTGGTTTGCCTCTGCCTCCTTTGGAAAAGAAGCCAGACAATAGTGTAATTAAACAGGTTCATGACTAAAGGGAAAACGATAGAACATGTAATGGCAGCTCTAAGCAAATTTGATCTTTTTTAGACCTGGTATCAACATCTGTCTTGCGAGATCCGATGGCAAGTGGACAGCTTTGTCTGCTCATACACAAGCACACTTCCCCATTCTATATGCAAGTAGTCACGTACATCATTTGTGTTTGTGAAGATCAAATTATGTTGATTTTACACAGCTTGAGTTAACAGATGTGTCCGATGATGATGTGTGTATTGTCACGAGCAAGAGGAGTCAGGAGGGGCTGAATGAATCAACAAGCTGCGCGCAGATCTGCTATGAAGAAAGATGTTTACCAAGGTAAGAGTCTAATTATTAATCATTTTGTGTTTTGTCAGTGTTGATATTGTGGCCACAAACAAATCAACGTATGGTCACTGAGAAGCGTTAAAATATGTAGCGGGTCAGAGGACATCAGCTGAGTAGGAGGTCCATATGTGGCCCAGAATGCATTTGCAAAAAGAAAGGAGCCACATGCCAAACCAAATGTGGTTTAGAGGTGGTGGAGGTTCAGACATGAACATAGCGCTGACCACTTGTGATCGAATCACTCAAGTCCGATGTTATTTCCAGGACTGAACAGGGTCATTATGTACCTCCAGGATGTGATGAAGCAGCGTAATGCGGCTCTTGTTGGCCTTAGTCTCTGCGAGCTTGAGCAAGGAGCTGATCTTGAACCCCTCTGCGTTCCCTGTGTGACTCCCCTGGAAGCAGACAGATGATTTAAAATGCAAGCTTTCTGCAAATGTCAGCGTGATTAAAAAATGAATGAGGAGAGAAGAGGCTCTTACATAGTTGAGAAAATTTCCCACGTCAAGAATGAGCCTGCAGAAAATGGGTATGCGCGTGCTCTCTCTGAGAGCTGAGAAAATAGTTACATCTGTTTAGATTTACTGTGAATCACAAATTCATGAATAAACAGAATTTTTGTGCTGTGGTTATGTGCTTCCAACCAGTGCAGTTTGTGCATAATTGTTTTAAGATGGAAGGAACCACGCATCCCATAAACCATTGCAGATGATCCCTTTCCAACAACTTCCACCAATTCTTCTTGAATTTAGTCTTGTTGTAGGGATTTTTAACCCTTTGGACCTATCCAATCTGAGGATTGTGGGTAGTGTAGCACTTCTCGCAAATAAAACAGGTTTATCTTAAAACACAGTTGATGTCATATAACATGGTTTTATAATCTTGTAGTTTGTGGTAAAGCTACCTTGGATTGTGAGTGAAAATGTAAAACTCTCTTCAGAAAGTGAATAGGATTTTTACTTTTGGAAGCTCACTGTTGAGCTCAGTTAGTTATCAGCAAAACACAGCTGATGATCTTTACATACACTGACAGGCCTCCTCCACCAGCTTGACTTTTGGTTTGAGCATGTCCAGCACTGATGAAGTCTCCTCGCACAGCAACATGCACTCAATCCTCAACTGATAACTGCAGACACAAGAGCGAGAGAGCAAAGTAAGTACTTCGACAAGTGTGGTGAAAGGCATTAGACTGAGAAAAATCACATCTACAGCACGGACATAATTATCAAACTAAGAACTGGAGATGACAGTTACCATGGCACAGTGAGAAGGCAGGTGTAGAAGCGGTCAACATTCGCCAACTTGTCCTTTTCTCCTTGGAAGGACTTCAAGTTTTCAATCTAGATTTTGAAAAGAAAGGCACAAGACAGTGACTCAGACAGGCAATATCATTGTTGTGGTTGGATCGGTGAAGTCTTGCGAGAACACACCTCATGCTTCTCTGGTAGAAGCTTCAGAAGCTGCTTTAGCACCTCCACATCAAACTTAGTCCGGTCACCTTTCTGAACCATGGCCACAAAGTCTTCATTTTTACTGCACAGAGAGAATCAAACAGAATGAGCTGTAAAATAAATTAATATATAACAAAAACAACATGACAATAATGTGATATCTCACCATTTGAACTGCTTTAGGAATATGTTCAAATTCAAGTTTTTCTTTGGATCAATGAATGTAATCTATGGACATGAGGCAGAGAGACATATTGATTATTCAGCTTTGATAATCAGGTGCGCTTGTTGTTCTGAGGAGCGGCGTTGTCGAGTGTTTTACCAAGCGCACCTCTTTAAGCTCCTTCTTGACAGGAGCAGCTGCCCCCTTGTCTTTGAGCTCGGTCACCGGGAGACAGAACAGCTGCTCGATACTGCTGTAGTCCGGCTCTGGAGGAGAAGGCTCTTTCTGAACCGAGGCCCACATGGAGGGACCATCTGTGTGTGGAGAGAGAAAGTGAACCTGTGACGAGCTTGTGTTCAAGCTCATTTTGAAAGAGATGTTCCCTCATTATCATCACATTACACCTTATGAAAATACTGGTCTGATAAGCTTCAAAAAGGTCCAGAGTGTAAGATTTAGGTGAAAGGGATCTATTGGAAGAAATTGAATAATGAAAATAATCCTGGTGATGTTTTCACTAGTGTGTTTCATCTGAAATTGTACAAATTGTTGTTTTCTTTACTAGAATGGACCCTTTATATTTAAATACTTTATATTAACATCGGGAGCGGGTCCTCTCTACGGAAGCCACCATGTTTTTTTTTACAGTAGCCCAAACTAAACCCCTTTTGAGTTTTAATGACAACTTGACGGCTACCACAGGTTCTCCTTCATGTTTGGAAGGGGAGGGTGAGGTGAGGGGTACTCAGCTGCAACATGCAACCTCACCACTAGATGTCACTAAATTCTAAACACTGAACCTTTAAAAATGTAGGGTTGGCCATTTTTATGTGAATAAATAAAATTGTCTCGGGAACAAAAGAAGAAAAAAAGCCGGTGTCTGTTGCCCTCGCGTGTGATAATCACAAACCACATTAAATGATTGGCTGGCATACCCGTCTGTCACTAACTGACCTGCCTGCTTTAGCACACCCTGCCCGTGCTCTCACTGCATACGACTGAGTCTTCAGCCAGAGAGATGCACACAACTGAAGCAGAGACTACTCCCAGATAGCTGTTCTTATCAATGGAACACAACCATCCAATTATTATTAAAGCAGATCCTTTCTGCCAGTCCAATAATATTTCTATTTAAGCAAATTAAATGTCCTGAAGGTATGAATAATATTTGGATGAACTGATATAAAAGATGAAGGCAAAGCATATATCTTAAAGCCGGATTGACCTTATAATTAGTCTGGGGCTGATTTAAAAAATGATATGAGCCTTCACAAGAATGTAACTCACCAGTAACAGCACGGAGTTTCTGCCAGTTGAGCTTTTTCATCCTGAGGGTGGGGTATCGGTACATCTTGGCAGGCGCCATGCACCCCAGGGACTGGACGCTCTGGGCCACGATCATGCCTGGAGCAGGAGGAGGCGGAGGTGGCATGCCAGGTAAAGGAGGCGGAGGTGGCATGCCAGGTAAAGGAGGCGGTGGCGGTGGTCCACTGCCCATTCCTGGGAGGATGGGTGGCGGAGGAGGAGGAGGAGGTATGCCTGGTTGAAGTGGCATCCCGGGTAAGGGAGGAGGTGGCGGAGGTCCACCAAACCCTCCAGGTAGCGGCGGTGGTGGAGGGGGAGGAGGCGGACACTGGTTTGAAGGGTGGAGCAGGGGCCCGGTCATGCCAGGGGGAAGAGGAGGAGGAGGTGGTGGGGGAGGCGGCGGAGGGGAGGCACATAGCAGCTTCTGGCAGGACACAGCGATCATAACTGGCTTCTCGTCATCCAGCCCTGTCTGCACAGCCTTGTCCACTCTGACCTTCTGCCCGTCCACTTCGTGAGGAACCGCTCCGCTCTTACCTTTGGAGAACAGGAGCCGCTGCGTGATCTTCTCATAGGACTCCATCTGAGCTGGAGCACAAATAGAAAGATACTGATAAACCCCAACTGAAGCGACTTCCTTTTACTAAAATACAAGCTTTCAGCCATCGTGTCCCCACACATTAATAACAGAGGAGGTCATTAGCCTCTCCAAAGTATTATTGACCTATATAGTAAATGTTTTGTTGTTTCAGTGCTGACTCACAGTCCTGGGCCAGCAGCACAGCTCTGTTGGTAATAGCCTCCAGAGCCAGCCAGATATCAGAGCGGCTGGGCCCCAGCACCAACAGTGTCTGCAGGATGGAGAGCAGCTGGAGCGAGGCTGGAGAGCTGCTCACCTATGGGCACACACACAAATTAGAAATACCCATTATAATAATGTCAGCCACTTGCATAAAAACGTAGTCCAAGAAACAGTATGAGAAAGACAGCGAAAATAGCGATAGCCACCTCTTGTTGGAAAAACTCCAAAGGTTATGGATAATTTTGGGACACAAATTGCCCAGTTTCAGACATCACCTTTAACCTGATTTAAAATCAGCTTTAAATAATAGCTTTTCATGTGAACTTGTAAATGTTACTTTAATCACTAGCAGATTTTCTGTTCTCTCACAAGTTCCCAAACCCAGACTTTCTATCAAATACAGATGCATTCATAATGAATGTGCATTCATTTTAAATTATTTATATCACTGTCACACTTTATCCTTTTTCTTATCACGCAAATAAGTGGAGTCAAGATGTTGCTCTGAACACATAAATATGAAACATTATGTTTACAGCATCAATGTTTTCTCCTCATTCCAACTTCCAAGCACATGAACACACTGAAAGTTGGAACGACGACCTCACAACTGGAGAAATGGGACGTTCAGAGGAGCATGAGAATCCACAGCTCGGCTCTTGTGGGAGACGATGAAGTCAGTTCTCACCTTGTTGAAGAGTGTTGTGAAGACCTCCAGGTGATCACTCATGTCGATGCCCCCGTACACCCGCAGCAGCTCCTCCTCATCTTCAGCCATCGCTTCTTCAAAAGCCTCACATTGAATAATCAAGTCTTCATCCTCCTGCTCCCTGCACAACACACACACACACATCACTGACGGCGACACCGACACATTTAAAAGCCAAGTTCAAGAAGCAGCGTCGAGGACGTTTGCTCAAATCACTGAGAATTAATGGGAGACAAATTGCAGACACCTTTTCCTAAAACCACCACTCTGCTAGCAGTGATTACAGGCTCGAACGTTTAAAACGCAAATGCCACATTTAATGTATTTTGCAAAATCTGCTTTAAAAAAAATGTGAACAGAAGTGAGGCTCACCGTAACTTTGGCAGAATATCAAGTAACTGAAGCCCTGCAAGACAATGATAAAACACAGCTCAGTGTACTCAATTATCACTTTTTACAAACATTAATCTTTTTAAAAAAGCCATCACACGTCTCCGCCTAGTGACAAATGTTAGTTCTTCACAGGTGAGCAATCACGGTGGAGGAGTGGCCAATCAGACGGGTGATTGGTCCAAGGTGGTGGAAGGCGTTTTTATAAAAGAAAGAAGGTTAATGAATAATTTGTGAAAATATCTCAAATGCAGGAGAATCTTAGTGGTTCAGTGGTTAAGCTCTTGGCCTCACAGGGAAAGGACCATGGGTTCACGTCTGGGTGTCACCATCACTGTAATGTTAATCCTGGTTTTTGTGCCGAACATACTGGGATCCTCCACTAAGGCTGCAATGAATTATTAATTTCATCATCCATTAATCTGTCAATTACTATTCTTGATTAAATGATTGGTTCCTTGGTCCATAAAATGTTGTTGTTGTCAGCAAACCAAAGATTTTGACTGAACTGTCAGTAAAGCAGCAAGGAAACCAGAAAACATTAACATTTGAGAAGCTGATATCAGCAAATTTGGACTTTTTCATTACAAAACCCCTCCCACATATTATTTGTTTATCAAAATAGTTGGCGACTAATATATTAGATGTTACTGTCCAAATTAATCGATTAATTGTGCCACCTCTAGACTCCACTGGTCCTCTGAGGAGATAATGTGCTCCAGAAAGCAGATGGATGGGGGACAGAGTGATTTAATCAGTGTTAGCAGTGATGGCGTTTTCTCTAAACTGAAGCGTTGAGTAGTCATTAGTGATGTTGTAAAATGCGTGAACACACAATGCTCTCTACACTTGAGGTTTGTTTTGTTCTCTGGCTTTTTATCAGAGTGAGAATGAGGTCATAAGACCTATTCTTAGACAGACCCAGAGGCAGACATATTTGTAATAGAGCTCCGTCTGATTTCCCCTCTGCTTTTCCACTTCCAGCACAGCGAGGGGGAAACACTTCTGTTGCGCCCACAATTTACCACTGCGTGACCTTGCATCAGACTAATGATTCTTTGTCAAATGGAGCACCCACCGATAAACTCCTTTCTCATCTTATCTCTCTGCCTGAGGTCGTCTTTGCCGTAGATGAGGGCGTTGATGACACTGAGGAGTGTGACCATGTAGGGAACGTTATCTGTCGCCTGCAGCTCGTTCATGATCACACTGAAGCGATATTGCTGCGTCTTCACGCCCTGAGGAGAGAATTCAAGGCCGGTGAGTGTAATCATCTGAGCATCATTGACTGAGACTGTGATACCACAATAATCTTAATGTTTATGCACACAACCTGCCAACAGATATTTTACATGCTGATGATCTAAGACCCTGTTTAGAACTGGTATTAACATTCGTTGTTAACACAAGTGGATAGAGTTAAGTTTGTCTGCTGACACCTGGTATCAACATGTGTCCTGAATGTGTCTACTGTGACCACTTTTTATTCAGTCTGAGTTTACAGATGTGTCAAGTGTGTGTGTGTGTGTGTGTGTGTGAGTGTGTGTGCGTGTGTGGGTGTGTGTGTTTGTGTGTGTGCGAGCGAGCGAGAAGAGTAAAACTATGTTGATTCAATGTGAAACTGTAGCAGGTCGGAGGATGTCAGCTGAGTAGGCGGTCCTCCGTATGTGGCCCAGGACACATTTGTGTTCACACAGCGAAAAGAATCTGACCCCATGCGTCCCAGACCACTCCGATTGTTGCCTGAGTGATCAGATCTCAGACCTGTACTTAGTACTTAGTCACTCAAGATGGATGTTAAAACCAGGTCTGAACAGGGTCTCAGATCAAGAGCGGTAAATCCCACTTTTCAAATAAAATGATTATTTTACAGGTGTATCCACTTGCCTTGTAATGGTCCAGGGCATCCAGAGCCAGGCGGTGTCCATCTCTGGAGAACATGCTGAGGGCTGCGAGTAGCTCAAACACCTGCTTCTTCACCATGATGTTGGACGTATCCAAGGCTGTGGAGCATCATGATCACACACATCAATACAAGCTGAACCCTCACACATGCATCTTTTCCTCTTAAAACAAGCCTCTCTTCCTGCTCTTGCCTCCTTGTGTCTGGACTCTAGCAGGATGCTCTCATTAGACCCTCTCAGAGACTCATCCTGAACTTTGCCCTCTGCGGCGTTGTGCTATAGATAAACATGCAATTCTGTGTCTGTTTTTGGGGAAATCCAATATTCACAACACACTGTGACAATACATTTTTAAAGGATGTCCTGAAGTTACCTATAAATCAATGGGGTGGGGCACTTGCTCCGGATACATTTTGAAAAATCCCTGCCGTGATTATAGTCTTCAAAAACTAGTCACTTGCCAACAATACTAACAGAATGTAAAAAGTTGAACTGTCATTATTCGAAGAACAATTTTCCTCCAATCATGTGACCAACCTAACATAATCCAAAAGTTAAAAACTATGTAAGGGGTAACTGGTGCCTCCGGTCCTTAAATATGAGAAGATTTTCTGTTAAATTAACAAGATGATCTAAATATCTTGAACAAATTATCCCTTGTACTGGAACATTCATATTGTTTAGGTTCAGATTAGTTTCTTCTAACTAATCTAATCTGAACCTAAACCACATAAGCATTATATGTAGAAAAATTCAAAGCCTCATGCAAGTGTAGTCAACCTTGTGACAGCTTCCGAATGTATCCCTCATTCTCTATAATGAAGTGGATCCCTGCAGAGGAGTTCATGACTGCCCGCACGCAGTTGACGCAGGTGAGCTGCAGCAGGGCGTCTGCGATGCGGGAACATCCGCGCCCCGAGAGCCGGTCCAGGGCTTCCAGGAGCAGATCCAGCCCGCTGAGCTCCAAGAACTGGACCATCCATGTCCGGTCGCTGCCGTCCAGGCGACGCTTCAGCCCCGAGTAGTTCACCACAGTGGGAACTTGCAGCAGCCTGATGCACAGCTCTGGGTCGGCGCTCTCCAGGTTGGCTTCCTGTTGGGTGTCGGAGTCCTGCGAGGAGCCAAGGCGATCCCTGACCGCCGCCCACTTCTTTTTCCCATCTAACTTTCCTGTCATGATGGCTGGTGGGACTGTGGAGGAAAAAGGAGAAAATATGTTGTCAGTGTAGATTATACATACACACGACATATTAAAGTGATGCCAAATTATCTGGAACGCCTCCTGGTGGCTGCGGTTTTGACCGTAAACCCCATCTCCTCCATGTCAGTGGATGGGGCATGGTGCAAACATAAAATCAACGGACATGTTACAATAGTTTATGTCATTTTATGTAGTTCTTATCACACCGATGTCTGTTCAAATATTTGTTTTTCTGGTAAGTTTGGTTTTAGTTAGTTATTTGATGCCATAAAAACAGGGTGAGACATCATGATTGACAGCTGAGACTGGCTCTTGATTGGTCAAACGTGTGTATTGGCGGGACCTTGGTATCCAGACTATGATCACCACTGTGCAGACTCATGCTCCAAATAATGGGATATTTTGGCTTTGTTTTCTTACACCGGGAGAAAGTGGAGACTAGTCCTGGGAGGACCACTAGTCCATCTTTATATAAAAATCTATGGTGCACGTGAAAAAATGGATTTTCCAGCAGTCGTCATCCACAAAAGAAAATTCAGTTTACCGATAGCGTCAGTCCACACTGACATCTGATGTTTTATTTTATCCAGTATGCAGCAGAGTTATCCGGAGCACAGGAAGCAGGCCATACAAGGCCTTATCAGACAGGAAAACAGAAAGGAAAATGATAGCTCTGCAGTTTGTGGATGACTCAAATATATGTCAGCAGTCATGTCATCATCAGCAACATTCCTGCCTAATCCTGTCTGAAAGACAAGCGAACCACTGTCAGTTCTTCATAAAGGCACAAAGCCAGGCTCAGTGTTGTTTGGACAGTGTGTATCCTTATTCACAATATACATTAATGTTTTTCAAACTCATTACTGACGCACAAATAAACACTGGTGCTTACGTAGAAACCACTGAAGAGAAAAGAAAATATCATAACAAACATAACATGAATGCACACATTGATTCCACAAGTGATCTTTTCTGGCATATCCCCAGAGCAGATAGTCACCTCTTGTACCAACCTGTAAAACTATTCACTGGAGTGTATTCAACCATGTGTAACCAATGTAACCAAGCACATCTCACACTGTGTGACTAATAAAACCACCAAAGAAGGAAAAAACTTTCTCTAAAAGTCTCCAACTTCTTCGCTCTGTGCTGCGGTTGTGATGTTAGTTGGTCCTGCAGAGATGAGCAGTGAGTGGATCCTCTCCTGTCTCCTGTTGTTGATTTCACTCTTGGCACAAATAAGATATACAGATGAGGCAGTGAGTGATGGGTGCATGCAAACACCATGGTCTGAGGAAAGGTCATTCACAGAGACACTACAAGCATTTATAACTTTCATCATCCTAACGCTCTGCTTAGAACGCTGTTACATTACAACCTGTTTGCAAATGCATCCCTCTCTTCAAATATTACCTTTCGAGGAACAGAAGCTGCGACTCGTGAAAACCCAGACAAAGTGGATTTCTATTCTAAATAAATGTAAAACGAGGCTTATCTGTTCCTCAAATATTCTGGCAAGACATTTGTCAGCTCTGGCTGCTGCATTTAATCCTGCTCCCAGTGTGAGTGTGTTACCGTGGCAGCAAGCAGACGGACAATGCTGTCTTTTTCATTCTCTTTTTTTACAATAGGCCTTCTCAGTTCTCTTCAAAGAGCTGTGTTCACAAAATGGGGATGGGGCGCTCCCCCGGCTCCCTTCCGGCTCCCTTCCGGCCTGGTGAGAGAGTTGTGCCATGACAATTGTTTCGACACCGTGTGGTTCAGGAGCACGTTGTGCTGTCATGTTCAGTGTGAGCAGGGAGCAAAAAGCTGCGAGTTGACGCTTGTAATCTTGAGACATTTCACAACACCAACAAACTTGATAAGAATTCTTAGGAAATGAAATTGAAAATGTACTGGGAGTATTTGTTAGAAGGATTCTGCTTCCTGCAAAGTAACACTTATGACTAAGACACTTAAAGAGGGTGTGTGTGTGTGTGTGTGTGTGTGTGTACTTTCAGGGGAAGTAGTTTCATGGGACAGGAAACTTGGCTCAAGACAAACACGTTGGTGTGGCAGCTCATGTTCCTCTTTGGAAATTTCATTCCAGTTGATTTGACGTCACATGTCGAGCACCTCCAAAGACCATTTGCATTTTCATTTTTGTGCATGCCTCAAATATGAACAGTTTTCCCTTGCTCTCATCAGTGTCTGCCAGCGCTCCCACATGCACCGCTATTAGCAGGCTGATTCACTGCACACACAAACAGAGCCTACTCATCTGTCCTCTGGTTCATCCACCCACACTGCAGCCCACTGCTACTGTACAGCATCAACACTTATGAACAGGCACAAACATCTCCACTGATTTTTCCCTATGATTTGCAAAACATGTGGGAATAGTCCCCCCCCCCCACATTTTGCATATGTGCTGTGTATGTAATAAGTGAATAAATAAACTAATAGACTAACTGAGTTTTTATTAAATCTCATACACTAATATTGTTGTTTGTTTGCTCCTGATGTGCCAGATTTAGCAAGCAGATATGAGATGAAGATATTTATTACTGTGACATTAGATTTAAACGTCTCAGCAGTCAGCACTATAATTATCACCTTAAACACATGTGAACATCTGGATCATGTGTTGTTTTATTGATTGGGTAATTATAGACAGCTACTTAAGCTTTGTACACACCATAAATCCTCATGCAGTATTTGCAGAATTAAAACATCTGGTTTTCATTTAACTCAGATCCAAGCCTCCCATCCTCCCCTCTCTGCTATGTAAGGGAGTGACCAAAGTCCACAAGCAATTTCTTTTTTAGGAATCTAGTGGAGTGATGTTAGTTCCCGTTATTACCCTGAATCCCTGGCCGATTCTCCGGCTGTTCTCAGCAAATCTGCACACGCTGACAAAAACATGGGTTACATAGGTGCATGTGAACCAAACATGGCATTAAAAACTGCAATCATCAGTAGAAGTGGTTTTGCTGCACAGTTTTTTTTCCATCCCAGCCTGAATTCTCCCCGTCATCCTGTCTCCACAGAGGGATAAGTCGATTACCACCTCCAGATTGGGCAAGGCTGTGCCACATGAACACTGCTGTCACTTTGCCAGACTGCATTAAAGAACAACAACACACAACACATGCACACGAGCGACATAAAAACGGTGCAGCATCGCTGTTTTGCGCTGCGATTGTTTTTGTTGCACATACGAGAGGACGTAACCGGACCAGTCACATCGCAGTGGCGCGTAAAAACCACCAGAAATAAGCAAAACAACACAGCCGGTGATCAGCTGCACCACACATGTCACGTCTGCAAACACTTTCCCACCGTCATCGATCACACATAGGATGAGTGCGACCCCTCACCTGAGTTTATTCCATGTATCCACACGCGTCCTCTGCTGTGCTTCAGGGGGGGATGCGCTCTGCGGTCATCCACACAACCTCTCACCCTCCAGAGGATGGACCGTGTGGGGGGGATCGAACCTCTTGCTGTGCTGTAGGGAGGATGGCTCCTCCGCTTTCAGGATTTGTCACAGCCCCCGGGCTTTTCACTCATTTGGAGAGAGACTGACAGAGACAAGGCAGCGTTACTGAGCTCAGACATCCGGTGAGGGCTTTCAGAATAAAACCTCAATGCACGTTTGATACAAATTATGATTATTCTTTTTCAGTCCTCAGTAGCAAAGGGGAGAGTAAAAATAGACATGTAACTGAAGGTAAATGCAAGTAAAGATACATAATAGACACAAGAGAAGACAAAAAAAACACGTTTGCAAATAGAGGAAGCTAAATATGGTTCTAAATGGTTTGGTTTGGTGATATGGCCAAAAATGACATCAAGATAAATATTTTCACATCAGTGAATATCAATAATTAATTAATAACTTATCAAGATAAATATCACATTACCGTTTCTTCAAGTTTAAAGATTTATTTTTATTCCTTAGCGTAGGTTGTGGTTTTAAACTCTTCTTGATGAAGAGAATGAAAAACACTTAATGAACAAATTTGCAGTAGATCAATTATGTGCTATACTCTATCACTGTATTTGCACAACGCATAAGCAATACATATTGAATCATATATTTCTATTTAAAAAAATTATATTTAGATAATTACTGGTTATGCTTTTCTGACATTTGACTGTTCCAAAATATTAAAGGTTTGACCAAAGTCGTGGTATGAAGAAAACTGAATTTGGCTAAGTAGCTAAAGAGAAATGATACAACCAAAAATTCCCACAGCAATAACCACACTGCACTTTATAATGTAAACATAAAATAATAAAACAGCCAACAACAAAGATTAAAATAGAAGCTGGCGAACACATTAGCCTCTGTGTGGCTTAATTAGCACTGAGCTGATCATAGTAGTGATTATCAAACACATGAAATCACACAATAATCACAAGATGGGGTTTCAAGTTGCCTTTTATTTTGGAAGCCGCACGGGCTGATTTCCGGTTTGAGTGTGCTTGCTGTTGAGCAGCTTGAATCTGTTTGTGATGCTGGATGTATGCAGCCAGTGGTTGGGCCCCCCCCTCACTCACCCCCATCCCATCAACTGCATCTGACCCCAGGATGAAAGTCTCTGCTGGAGGAAAGATTCGTTTCCTGACTGAAGTCAGTAGAAGAACTGAACTCACGAATGTACAAGATGTCACACAGTTACAGAGTACATATTACTATTATACTCTTAAATGAATGTGGCTGAATTAGTTACAATACCTGAAGACACAATGTCCAGCCCTGAGTAGCCTTTTGGGGCCTTTTAACATGAAATCTAAACTAAACCAGTCTTCCTTCCTCCTCAGTGGACTTCAACATATTTACTTTGAACTTTAAATCCATAATTGTCGTTTGAATGATTCAAGTTCAGAATTCAGGATCCAGACAAAATCTAGAGACACTCGGACACGGAGCACATGTTAATTCTTCCATTTGTTTTACAAGGCTTCAGGATTTAAGAATGTGAAATCTTCTCTCCTTCATCACACCAACAGAACACAAAGTCACTTGTTTTTTCTCAGTTATCTTGGACTTGAGACAAAATGTCTCCTTGTGAAGCAAACGTCCTGTAATGCTCAAAGAATACAAAGTTCAAGAATTTCTTATCTTTTTAAAGTTTGTTTGCAGTTCCCCTCAAGGACTGTGGAGATAAAAAAGTTGGGATAAAACAACAGGAAAAGCGTGGTTCCTGTGGCTCTCCATTGTGTTTGCCTTTCCTTTAAATTGCTCTCTAGATCTATTCTAAGTTTGATGTGAACTTGAATCTTCAATTAGCTTCAATGAAAACACCTTTACTTGAATCTATAAATTTTGTTAATAACCTGCAGTAATATCTGACTTGAGGCTATTAAACTTGCTCAAACAAAGATACACTATAGGGTCCCTATATTGTTAAACTGCTTTAGGTCCCCTGTGCCATCACCATTCAACGTTTTGTCTGTCAAGTTAAAGAAAAACTGGGCTTCTCTCATGAAGAACGGTGAGAATCAGCAGCATGGCGTTCTCGTGTTACAGCTCCAGAGGGGAATATGCAGAGCTTCACATTTAAAATAATGGTCATACGTGAGACAGTACTGTTTAAACTGAGCAGCTTGGTCTGAGCAAATATTATGAACTCATCATAGCACACATGGAGAGTAGTCCAGGTTCTAGCTGAGCGAGTCAAACAGGATCATCAACCATATTCACTGGGCTCAAACGCCCAATCTTTAAAGTCAGAGCAAACACGATTCTCCTATTTCCATTTATCGTTCTACTGTTCACACATGCACATGCATCATGGGATTTTCAGCCATGATTTTAACCAGAAACGGAGCCTTAATCCACTAAACCTGCTGCAAGGCATCTGTAGGGTGTGTGTTGTGCAGTGTATACAGGATTTACCCCGACTGTGTTTGTCATAGGTTTCCTGATAGAAAAGAGAGATCATTGCATTTGCACACAGATCCCAAGGATAATGACCCTGATAGGAGACAAATGTTTTTATACAACTTCAGGTATCATTTCAAAACAGTTTGCAGATATCAAGTATCTGTTTTCATTAGATATTTGATACTCTGACTAGATTACAGAAAATGAGAGCAGACATGTCATGGCATGTTCTTGTTTCAGCATTATGGGGATTTTTCAGGACATGCTGCAGCATTTCATTATTTTGTTTTAAAGAAATGTGATCGTGATAACCGTGACAGGAAATAGATGATCTGATAACAACGAACTTGACTCAGAGCTTTCTTCTGTTTACATTTCATCATTGGCACAAGTTCAGCTGGTTTAATGAAGTAAAACCAAAGTCTTGAACAAAGCTAAACCATGATTCAGAGGAGCCCTGCTGTGGAAAATAAAACCACAAGATGTCCACTGCTGTAATATGTCTCATCTGCTGACACGCTTATGTTTTAAGCTGATCTTGGCATTATCACACAAATATGAGTGTAGGTGTTCATTCTGGCTGAGAAGCAAGAATTAGATGTGATGTGAGAAGGCTGTAAAGAATTTTAAATAATTATTTTAGAGGAACTGTGTCTGTTACAATAATTTAAAAAGAGGACCCTCTGTACTACGTTGTTGGATCATTATTTAAATACAAACTGTCACAACACTTTAAAGTATAAATTTGAGGAAGCATTGGTAAACATATTTGACAATGTGCATGAGTT